CTCTGCTAATCAGAATAATTTCTTGAAATCGTGTTGCGCGGTAGGGGGAAGCCAGGATTTTATGAATGTCTGAAATTTCATGATTACGGAGGCTGACTGTAAGGAGATGACGCAGTCTGCTATAAGAGCCAGGTTCGGTTGTGCGTTCCATGTACACTAAACAGTTATCGGGGTTAGCGTGCTCGGACCGATCGCTGCATTGTTTTAAAAGGCTAGAAAATGGGGCTTAGAAAATAGAATAAAATCGTGACAAAAATCAAAAACAAAAGTGTGAGAAAAACAAAGTATATATAAATAATATTAAAAGGTTCAAAAGTTTTTTTTCTTTTTTATTCCAAGTTGTAATAATTCAACCAATACTGCGATTTAAATCAGAATTATGAGTCAGAAAGTCGATGCTACACGATGGTTCCCGACTTCCACGTTCAAGATGGACGCTACTCAACTGAACAGGAGTTAAATTGCCCTACTTTCATTGTTTGGGGCAGTTTTCTGTAAACAATAAAACATTAATTCAGTTATATATGCACAGAACACCACCTGGGACAGTGTTTTTTTATCATTCTTATGGTTATATCAGTGGCTGTAGTCGCCATGGAGAATAAAACAAGAAATTAAACATCTTTAAATGTTTAATTTCAATGCATTAAAACACTTTTAGGCACATTTAGATTGTAAAAAGGTTAAGTTAGGAGCCAAAATCATGTAAAGTATTTTTTTTATTAACATTTGTGTCACCCGTTCTGTAAACTTATTTAATCATCATATTGAATTAACAAAGCAAAAGAGTTCAGTTCATGCTGACAAACGTTCCAGTGTAACACAGTGTTGTAGTAGATTGGGAGAAAATTGACAATTAAATAAGAGATTATTTAGTAAAATAATATTTTATTAATCATTTGACTAATCAGTCAATAACTCTTCAGAAATCTTTTTCTAAACAAATAATTGAAAGAAAAATAAAATAATGCTAAGGGCAATGACTCTGGAAATGAAGGATTAGCTCAGTTTTTAGCGATGTACGATAAAGGGCCCAGGTCTAGCGTACACGAGGAAAGTTGTTACAAAAAACTTCTAGGTCACATTGTTGCAAAAAAAAAAGTGGATCAGAAAGCACATTAATGCTAATTTCATGTTAGTTTTTTAAACCAATTTTTAAATAATAGTCATAACTATATAGCCTGGTGAGACCATCCTGATCTCGCGAGCTTTCAAGGTTTCACTCGCAGATCAGTCTGGAGACTCTCCGTTGAAGATAATTTGGAGCCGTTCACCAAACGAACGTCCAATCAGCGTTGGCTTTGAGGCGGGTTGAGGTGTGACGCAACGAGAAGCGCGACAGTTCAGTCTAAAGAACATGGCGGCTTCAGCCGATGAAACTAGCGTTAGCGTGGCTATCGAGCAAGTTTTATCGGAATTACAGAGTATTTCTTCACTGAAAGAAGAGCAAAACACTGCTCTGGAGGCTTTTCTCAGAAGAAAAGAGGTTTTTGCTCTTCTCCTGACTGGTTAGTACCCTGGCCTGACTCTGTTAGTACGTCATATGCTGCGTTAATCTGATTGGTTTATTTGGCCCGTCTATCACCAACATAGGCCAATCAGCTAACCAGTATTTTCGCCCCTTCCCAAAATTACTTCAACGGAAGGTTTCCAGATGGATATGCGGAGCAAATCCATCTGGCGGAGTCAGGTTAATAACTTTATAGGTAACAGCTCAAAACATGCTAGCATGTGGTCCCGCTACTGTGTTAGCATATATATACAACAAACTTCAAGCTGGATAGCAGGAACTAAAAGCTTTAACATCCTATCTTTCTACAAATCTACCTTAATCTGATGCTTATTTAGCAACAAATCTTCTCTTTGAGTTTTTCTAACAAGTGATTATCCAACATGTTTTGTTTTAACTGCATGAAAATGAAGTGTGCAATGAAACCAAATTGCAGCTGGCCTTCTCGTTTCTCTGTTTGCGTCGGTCATGCCGGTAGCATCTTGCCTCTTGCATGCACTCTGTGTGGGAAAATTCAGCTTCTGCTCTTGGAATTTTTGTCCGATTTTCCGAACTTGAACGCTGATCCTTTATTTCTGCCGTTTGCTGCTTTAGGGTTCGTAGAAACAGTGAGAAACTGGTGAACCCTGAGAGACAGAGGAAACGTCTGGACAAGAAGGCGGCGTCTTCAGCTAACCTTCTGAGCCGCTCGCCCAGCCTGGAGAGGTGAGGAGCACTGCATCGTCTCTGTTAGGTTTATTCAATGATGATTATAAAGTTAATGTGTGTGCATATGAAACATTGAAGATATGAGATGCTACATTCTGTCCTGTGATTCAGTCAGGAGGGGTAATTTTGTTTATTTCAGGGTCATTTCACTTTGGTCATTAAGGCCCCGTCCACACGAAGTCGAACCCTGGCCTAAACGCACAAATTTTTCACCAAACCAGCCTCTCATCCATACAAAGCCGGCGTTTCGGGGGTCTGTAAACGATCTTTTTTTTAATTAAGCCTTCAGAGTGGGAAGATTTTGAAACGCCGTTTTCGCGTTTCCATCTTTAAGCTCTAACCGCATTTTTTTTTTTTTTACACGCATGCGTCATAGCGTCGCCTCTAAACACGCATGCGCGACAGTATCACAACAACAATGGCGCCGTACTGTGTTGAATGGTTGCTGCTCATGCTACTCACCCTGCTGTCGGGCTTACAACAGAATCTTCTTCTTCTGGAATATCTCCAGGAAGAACAGAGCAATATCGACCACATAGTTCAGCACCTGAATTTGACTGAACCACGAAAATGGACCCGCAGGGCAACCATGTATAAATATTAGTGCGCATGCCCAACATTTCGTCGCCTATTTTTGCTTTGGCACCACAGCGCCACTTACAGGCCTGGCATACATTTTGCAGCGTTTTCATGCATTCGTGTGGACGATCACATTTATTTTACGTCTCCGTCTTTACGACAAACGTTCTGGAAAATATTAGCGTTTCGTGTTCGTTTTGACTTCGTGTACGGGGCCTTTAAGAAGGTCTGTTTTATGACCTGCATCCAGCTAGATAATCATTACAGGGTCTTCTGTCCTAAGACCCACCCATTTGCTTGTGATCTGTTAATAAAAGACTCTGCTGTTCTGGTGGGGGGCAGAAAAGTGCTGAAGTGTGAGCAGGCAGCCTTTCTCCTCCTGCAGGAAGCTGTGTTTGAAAATCCCTTGGTGTGTGAGATTCATTTTTTGTCCTATATGAACTCACAATTTTTTTTAACCTAACAGTCTCCAAGCTCACTTTTCCGCATGGCTCCATCACGACACTGATTGCAAGTGTAACGTTGAATAATGCTACATTCAGAACGCACTCGATAGAAGCAGCAGAAGCAGCTGGTTTACATGCAAAGTCAAAAGGTTGACGCCCATCAAGGCGCATCAAAAGGTCCTTCAGCAGCTGAAGCAGCGCCTCATGAGATTCTGAGCATCTGAGGTGCGTGACATGCTTCACATACAGCAGCAGCTGGAGTTGGAATCATTTAATTTTTGCTGCTCGACGTGCCACATCAACCGATCAGAGAAGCTGATCTGGGAGCTGGCATAGAGACTGTTGAAAACTGACGCCAAAATATGTCTGCTTTTATTATCCTGGTGCCTGCAGTTTGGATTACGAACATGAAAAACCCCAACATCTACTTCCATCTGCCACAAACTGTAGCTGGAAACCCCCAACAGGCAACCAGGAATGAGGTAGCCACTGCTGGGGATTCCAAGTGACAGTTGTGAAGTTGTGGAGAAACTGAGAGTCTTGCAAGAGAAAGTTAAAATTTATTTTACACCCTTAGACAGAGAAAAAAGCTCTGACTGGGGAAAGCCCAGCACACACGTTTATTCTGTCTAAATCCCAGCACCCACTCTCCGTGGTGACCATCCCACCCCTGCATAAAGAACTTCCTCAAACACGAACATTTGGAGGAAAACAACTTCAGTTCATCAAGGACATTCTCTGTTAGGCTAACATATCTTTCACTGGCCACATAAACTTTCACAACATCTGTCTTCTGTTCATGGCATTAGGGAGCCTTAAGCACCTTAGAAGGCATGTTATCTATATTTCACCCTTGTCTAGAGCAGGGATCTTCCTGGCCAAGGACCCCAAACTGATGGTTAGATGGAGCGGCGTCCCCCTAATTATATATATATATTGTGGTCCTCTAGTCACTCTATTACAGATGGAGTAATGTAACTAAAGTAATCCCTCCCTGGGATTATTAAAGTATTTCTGATTCCTGGTTGATGGGACAGGTGTTGTGAATGAAACGGTGCCCAGCTTGAAAGAGCTCCTGTGTGTCCATTGATCATGGGCGGTTCTAGACGGGGGCCAACGGGGGCCAGTGTCCCTGTAGATCATGTCCTGGCCCCTGTACTGAAGACATAACACTTTACAAATTCTGTTTTACTAATTATTTATAAAACAATAAGGTGATGGCTTCATTGGTATTGAGATAGGATCCCAGTTTTCATCTGGTAGATGTTTTTTTTTTCTTTTCAAAACAAATTGCTCTAATTTTTACGGCTCAATTTATCAATATTTCTTGAGTTCTAATTCAGATTTTATAGAAAAGGGTAATTTGAACTTAAATTAAAGCTACAGTGTGTAATAATTACAGGGATATAAAGTCAGAAATTTAATATATTATACATAACTATGTTATTTATCATCACCTATGAGCTCAGCCTTTTAACCATAATATTTGCGTTGCCTTAGAATTCGTTATTTATAATTACATAGGAGCGGGTCTCGCAGCCATGGAGGCTGACATCTTTGCGCTACGGCAAGCGCAGAGGCAACAAACTAGCGATTGCGAGATCTCCCATGACGCTCAAAAATAACTACGGCAAGTTGAGAGAGATGAACTGAGACGGTACTGAACAGTAGATGGCAGTATTATGCCTGAGAAGCGTTTAGTCTGCCTGAAACCAAAGAAGAAGAAGAAGAAGCAGGTATACTGCGCCTCAGTAACAAGAAAGGTGAACAAGGCGGCAGGCGTGAGTGACTTTGCAAACTGTTTGGCACTGTGTGGCCAAACATCAGACGAATGGAGGATCATGCCTACTCTGTATCACAACGAAAAGCGGCGGACACCGAACCCCCGTCATCTAAGAAGCGGAAACACGACGAGAATAAACGCAAGCGTGACAAGAAACGGCAAAAAACACGGATCAACATTGGCACGGCATTTACACGATGGAAGTCACTGATGGAGGAAAAAGGTTTTCAAAGTGACGCTCAAGTTGCCAGTTTTCTCTTGGACAGGTAATTAATCCTACACACACAATTGTCTAATATCACTGCAGTTTTTGGAGTACAGGATGCTCAGACCTGTCTAAAACAATAACATGCTGCGGCGTGATGATGCTGTTCCTCTCCAGTATACTTATTCAGCAACGTCCCTGACGTTTCACAGGTAATGATTCAGTAATTTTCTGTAAAATAATTTTCTGGATATATACTTCGGTTACTTCTCTCCGGCTCCTTTGGAGATCTTCAAGCCTTTCCTCCTCTGCTCTCACCCCGCTGGCTCCCCTCTCTCGCCTGGCCCTGGCTGCACGGCCTCCCTGCCCTCGCCCTCGTCCTCTCCCTCTTCCTCGCGTTGTAACCCCCGTGCCACCAAAATGACTTGGACTCTGTAAACGGGGAATATATATTCTTCCAGCGAACACAATCTCGCTGTTAAACTAATGACTACAATTACTTCGTCTGTTTATATCACCATGCAAAGCAGCTCACCAAAACGTCACAACGATGTAGAAAAAATAACGGGTATATTTATTATCTTAAGTCTACATGAAATCTATACCCTACACAGACTAATGAAATACTATCTGTAAAATTATCTATGTAAACAAACCTCATCACTTGAGAAGGTAGGTGATGTGGACGTCGTGGAAGAAATTTTGTCCCGTAACGCTCGCCGTACTGTTGGGGGGGAGAAGCGGTGGGGGGGAGATGTTCATGTTGCTGCGGTCTGCAGTCTGACCGCTAGATGTCGCTGAAAATTACACACTGTAGCTTTAAGTCAAAAATATGTAAAATTTCTAAATTCTGAATGTATATTAAGACATAGAATTTCAATTAAACCTAATTGAATAGAAATGTTACTTTATGCAGCTCTTTTAATATATACCTTGCTTTTTTTTTTATTTCATGCTTTTTTGTTACTCCATGAAAACACGCTGGCCCCCTGCTGGCCCCCTGGTACATTTGGTCTAGAACCACCCCTGGCATTGATGACTGAAAGACATCTTCTGCCTCCATTTATCTGTTTACGACAGTCTGTTGAATTCATGTTAATGTGGATTTAAAGACATTTTGATTAGTTGGAAAAATTGCAGGGGGGAATATAATAAATAGTCTAATCAACCAACACTTTCGTGACCCCCATTCAGTACCTCCGTGGACCCCCTAGGGGTCACGGACCCCCTGTTGAAGACCTCTGGTCTAGAGTAAGGAGGCAACTGCTCTGCCCCCCCCTACCTAAAATATTCCAGCATAAAGACTGGCACAAGATTTCTCTAAAATTATTCATATGTAGCAGAGAAAAGGCACAATCTAAATATTTCATCTTGCAAGTAGGCCGGTATGTGGGGGTCTGAGCGGCTCCCGCAGAGAAATAATCTTTGAAGGCAGGATGGTAATCTGGATAAACTGACTGCCTCCACCAAGAAATATATTCAAAATACTTTTTACTCGCTGATCACAGCAAATATAGCAAAGCCGCTCTCTGGTATTGAACACAGGAGCAGCAGACGCATCTGGACACACTTTAACGGACGGCTGACCTTAATGAGGACAAGCAGCAGAAATGAAGCAGCAGAAGTTTTTTTGCTGCTTCTATCACGTCCGGTCTGAATGTAGCATTAGGTTTTTATTTCCAGAAGAGGATTTGCACAGATATCATCTTGTATTGGAGTCAAGGAATAAGGGATACGTTCTGCTGTTCTTTAACGGTGTGTTTTCATGTTTATCACCTGAATGTTTTCTGTTCCCACAGTCGAGCCAAAGAGCTGATAGCCAGTGCAGGTAAGCCAATAATCCTTTGCTCTAGTCGGATAAGTATACTTCTTACATTTTTATGAATGTCTGAAATTTCCTGATTAACTGTAAGGAGATGACTCGGTCTGCTTAAGCGCTCTTTGTTTAATGAGAACCGTGCCAGAACTGAACCGTTCAGAGCCCTACTGATGAACTAGTCCCAGTTTAGCGCGGTTCGGTTGTGTGTGGCGCGGTCTGGTTCAGATCTGCGTACCATTTACACTCAATGGTTACCTCGGTTACCGTGCTCGGACCGACGGTTTCTAAAGGGTAGTGGAAATGGGGCTCTAGTAGCTCAGTGATAGAGCTAAGAAAGGGCTTCCTCTCAGCCGTAAGGCTGATTTATACTTCCAAACTAGGTCGTCTGTCTAGGTGTCGCGGTGAACGCGGAGACGTCCCCGCCCCCTTCGCAGACACTCTACTGCACCTCAACCAACTTGTAGGCGACCACAGACAGTGCTGCAAACAGGAGGCCCTTTTATTGGTCAAATCTACATCTACACTATGCGTATTTCCTGTTTGGTACCTCACAACCATTGCGAAAAACGACTTCTGAAGCTAGAAGAGCGAGGTGCGCTGGGACCCTTTTTCCACCTAGATCCCGCTCTTTTTCGCACTCATGTCCCCCGTTGTCGGACAAACTTGCCTCCACTTCCTCACCGCCTCGGCCGTATCTAGACCCACAGCTGGTTCCTGGTTGTTCCTCTGGCGTTGTCGCGTGGAATAACAGCGCAGACCACGCTTCAAAATTGGGTATAAATCAAAAATGTCTGCATCATACCTGCAACAAGCTCACTGCGACAAACTACTGCGGGAGGATAACCAGCCCTTTACACTCATCAGGCTTAAGCCTAAAATAAAATCATAGAAGAAGAAAAACTACGGTGAAGTTCAAGTTAAGGTTTGGAGCACGTGTGGCAACTGAACTTTAGCCTCGTGAGACCGTCCTGATCTCGCGAGCTTTTAAGATTTCATTCGCAGATCAGTCTGGAGACTCTCCGTTAAAGAAAATTTGGAGCCGTTCACCAAACGAACGTCCAATCAGCGTTGGCTTTGAGGCGGGTTGAGGTGTGACGCAACGAGAAGTGCGACAGTTCAGTCTAAAGAACATGGCGGCTTCAGCCGATGAAACTAGCGTTAGCGTGGCTATCGAGCAAGTTTTATGGGAATTACAGAGTATTTCTTCACTGAAAGAAGAGCAAAACACTGCTCTGGAGGCTTTTCTCAGAGGAAAAGATGTTTTTGCTCTTCTCCCGACTGGTTTCGGCAAGAGTTTGATCTATCAATTGGCTCCTCTTCGTCGTCGCTCTGTTAGTACGTCATATGCTTCGTTGATCTGATTGGTTTATTTGGCCCGTCTCTCACCAACATAGGCCAATCAGCTAACCAGTATTTTCGCCCCTTCCCAAAATTACTTCAAAGGAAGGTTTACAGATGGATATGCGAAGCAAATCCGCATACCCTTGTTGGTTTAATTTGTTAGCATTAATATTAGCAGACCTGGCAACCAGCTGGCAAACATTACGGAACCCCAGCAATCGCAAGTGCGCCACTTACTGGCTGGGAGGGGTTTAACTTATAGCTATCACCTTTAAATCCAGTTTTAGTTTATTGATTTTTTTTTTCCCAAACTAATGCATTTAATTTCAAACTACAGGAATACAGATTGATCATAAAGTTCCTGCTCATAATAACTGAGTTTCCCCAAGCAGACGTTTTTGTTTTTTTGTTTTTTTTCTGCTCAGCCTTTTAGACCCCGGTTAGAATCACCCCCTTTTAGGCCCCAGCCTTTCAGATGCTTCACATTTACAGACAAAAATAGACTAAAATATTCTCCTCACCAATTTGACATCTTCAACAAATCACAGAGCTATTTAAAATTCAAATGTGTGTATTGTTTCAATTTAGCTGCTCAAAAACACATTTTAAAACCACAACTGAGGCGCCTCCATGAGTGAGGGTGATTACTGCTGTGGTTTGTTACGGCTTTGAGTTGTTCAGGAATTAAAAAATAGTTTTATAAATGGTTGGTGACACTGATGGGTTTTGATGTAAAGCAGTGATTCACAGATCTGTCTACTGTTTCTCCCTCGTTAGCTCAGCTCAGTAATCGGCAGGTCAAATGATAACATGTCACTTTTTTCTTATTCATAAAATCATTTAAAAAAGAACTCTTCCTGTGCGTCTCTAGAGAAATTAACAAGATGCTTAAAGATTTATATTAGGAGAAAACTGTTCTCTTTTATTTTTTAATGATTGATAGTCAGATTTTAGGGATGCACGATATAATGGGCCCCCTATCGGTATCGGCCTTAAAACTGAATATCGGACATGGGCCACCCCACCGATATTTAACACGATATTTGATCAGCTTCTGAGTTTCTAAAGTCTAAAAAAAAAAAAAATACTACTTCTTCCTCAAAAACTTCTTTTTTACAGACTTAAAAACTTCTAAAGACGAGGGAAAAAATATTGATCCATTAAAATATCCCAATATCTTCATATGCTGATATATTGCCATTTAAAAACACCATATCAATCTCTTTTACTAATGAAATATTGCTATATGTCATCGTTATGCTACGAAATCCCCCGAAAATTCACGAAATGTTGCCATATTTTTATATGTCGATATATTGACGCGGTATCGATCTATTTTACTAACAAAATCTCACAAGAATTTGCAAAATATCACGAGAGTTTGTAATAGAACGATGAAATTTCACGTGATTTTGAAAGTAAAATAGATCGATACCGCGTTTTTAAAAATCAGTTTGATATCAGCATATGAAAATATATTTGAGTATATTATTTTTCAAAGTGTCAGAAATGGATAACAAAACTGCTATTTTCAATGACTACTTATTTTTGTCCAGCTTTAACATCGGTATCGGTTATCGGCTAAATGAGTTTTAAAATATTGGCATATCGGATATCGGCCAAAATCCTAATATCGTGCATCACTTAAGGCATTATGGAGTCTGATGGGTATAATTCTTATTTACACAATAAGTTTAACTGATGCTAAAACGCAGAGTTGCTTTGAATTTTAAGACCATTTTAGGGGAAAAAATACCTCGTGAAAATTGAGGAAGAAAGAAATGCATAAAGCTGGAATATAAAACAGATATTCACTTGAACAGACCACCTGTCCTCCGTCAGTAATAAATCTCTCTGCGCTCCAGTCAACATTTCATCCTCTCCTTTCTCAGATCTTCCAGTTTTCTCTCTGCTGTGGTCTCTATCACTCCTCTGTTTCTTTCTAATCCATCTGTCTTTGGAGGTTAATGAAGTCCAGATATCATTCGTCTCCTGTCTGTTTTTGGATCCTTTAATAATAATAGTAATGAATTTTATTTGTAATGCACTTTACATTTGACTTCAAATCTCAAAGGGCTACATTTAAAAAAAAAGGGAAAATTAAAACAAGGTTAAAAGACCATAACATTAAAAACAGAGTAAAAAGACAATCATTAAAATCAATACATTCAAAGGCATACGTAGCCTATTAAAAAAATCTAAAATCAGCAATTGCAGGCATTTCTTTCCTTCTTTCCTTTTAAGTCGGGAACAATGATGAATAATGCATACCAACCGGATGTGAACCCATCTCCATATATGGGCTTCCTCTGGTTTATATCCGGTGTTTATTTCAACCAGGCAGAGTTTTTGGATTCGATTTTCTAAAATCGCTCGTTTACCAATGCTGGTCTGCATAAATTTATTATGACTTTGCTACTATAGGTGATGGTGAGGGATTTATCATTAGGCAGAGATGGGAAGTAACGAAGTACAAATACTTCGTGACTGTACTCAAGTAGATTTTTCTGATATTTTTACTTTACTTTACTACTTATTTTTATGGCGACTTTTTACTTCTACTCCTTACATTTTTACACAAATATCTGTACTTTCTACATTTTAAAAAATTGGCTCGTTACTTTAGTTTTGAATCATTTCAATGGAGTTACCGTTATTATTTTTCACGTCATCAATACCAAATTCAATCTAATTGGATGGGAATCTACGTTGCATTTGACGCACCACTACAAGATGAATCGACAGATTTGGCGGTATTCATTGGCGGCAAATCATTGCAGCTTGGTGGCGGTGGCGTTAGCATAGTAGCATGGACGACGAGATGATTGAAAATGAACACAACGGAGATCTAGTCCTATTGGCAGACATCCATTTAAAATGTAGGCAACGGCATGAAAAAAGTGGTTTCTACTTTTACTTTTAGACTTTAAGTAAATTTACAAGCCTGTACTTTGTTACTTTTACTTGAGTAAAGAAGTTTAATCAGTACTTCCACTTTTACCAGAGTATTTTTTAACACAAGTATCTGTACTTTTACTTAAGTACGGAAAGTGAGTACTTTTGCCATCTCTGTCATTAGGCAATACTAGGCAGTTGCCAAGGGCCCCAAGTTCCTGGGGGCCCCATAAAACTCTGTTTCCATGTATGGTTAATACAACTATTCCTTATTTGTGAACATTATGTTTTTGATAAAACTTCTTTTACTAAAATGCCATCAGAACACTGATAATATTAAGTGTGTCTCAGCCCCCCCCTTCAGTGTCCACCATATTGGATCAGTCCATTTGCTGCACATGTTCAGAAAGGTCCAAACAGACAGCAGCAAACCATTTGAAAACAAACCATGCAAAGAGCAGTGTTGCCAACTTAGCGCTTTAGTCGCTATATTTAGCCACTTTTCAGACCCCTCTAGCACTTTGATTTCTAAAAAGCTCCTAGCGCCAAATCTAGAGACTTTTTTCTGCTACTGGAGACTTTGGAGACAACATCTAAAAGCAGCGAACTCTGCTCTCTTCTCCATTCAGAGGGCCCCCTGTCTGTCTTTGCTAGGGCTGCAAATTTACCACCCGTTTTGGTGATAAAGAAATATGCTAATATGATGTTTTTTCCTCTTTTTTTCCTCGATCACAATCTGACTCTATATGAATAGTGATTTTCTGTTTCCCAGTTAATAAAACTTGAGGATATAGCAGAATGATTGAGTGAAGACTTGATGAGTTTGACGTAGATTCAGGATCTGACCCAGTTACGTCAGCTACAGAGTTTTACTCGCCCAAGCTTGCTAACATACTCCTCTTCCTTTCCATTCGAGTCGGTGGGAATGGAGACGGCGAGGGAGCTTTGAGCTCTGTGGTTGCAGCCTGGAGCCGTATCCGCTGTGGTTAGCGGCTTTTGCTGCTCCAACTCGCATGACAGATTGATGGATGGTTAGCTCTCTCTGCTGTGTAGGGTGCCAGCACACGCTTTTTTTCTTTTACCTCCCACTCTGATCTCATCCTGAGATCTTCAAGCGTATCTTGCATTAAAAAGCTACTTTAGGTTTGGTTCACAGTAAAGCAGCTTGATGTGGCTGGAGGTCAAACTGAACCGCTGATTTCCATCTACAGGATAATTCATACTTAATCTTAAGCTGGATGCGTCGTCGTTTTTGCTCTTTTCGGGCCTATTCTCCAGTTGTGGGAGAGTTTTTTTGGATCAGACGAGTTTCAGCCTCATTTTGCGCCCTGTGTGGTGATACAGGGGATAAAGAGGGGCGGTGCTAGAATTGCTTTTCTCTGTAGTATTGGTCTGGAGAGGAGACAGTGGCGTCGGATGAAGGAGTTTGCCCGGCAACCGGAACGTTGTCGTTTCAAGCTTTCAGGTTCCAGCTTTCAGCGTCGTTGTGTCCTTGGGAAAGACACCTCACCTGCTTTGTCTAATGATGGTGGTCAGAAGGACTGGTGGCTCCAGTTTACGGCAGACTCACTTCTGACAGGTTGCCCCTGAGCAACTGTGGCCACTATGTAGCTTGCCACCATCAGTTTGTGGGTGAATGAGTGAATGACGGAATGTAGTGTAAAGCAGCAGTCCCCAACCTTTTTTGCGCCTCGGACCGGTTATATGTCAGATAGGGATGCACGATATAATCGGCCCCCTATCGGTATCGGCCTTAAAACTGAATATCGGACATGGGCCACCCCACCGATATTTAACCCGATATTTGATCAGCTTCTGAGTTTCTAAAGTCTAAAAAAAAAAAACAATACTACTTCTTCCTCAAAAACTTCTTTTTTACAGACTTAAAAACTTCTAAAGACGAGGGAAAAAATATTGATCCATTAAAATATCCCAATATCTTCATATGCTGATATATTGGCATTTAAAAACACCATATCAATCTCTTTTACTAATGAAATATTGCTATATGTCATCGTTATGCTACGAAATCCCCCGAAAATTCACGAAATTTTGCAATATTTTTATATGTCGATATATTGACGCGGTATCGATCTATTTTACTAACAAAATCTCACAAGAATTTGCAAAATATCACAAGAGTTTGTAACAGAACGATGAAATTTAACCAGATTTTGAAAGTAAAATAGATCGATACCGCGTTTTTAAAAATCTATTTGATATCAGCATATGAAAATATATTTGAGTATATTATTTTTCAAAGTGTCAGAAATGGATAACAAAACTGCTATTTTCAATGACTACTTATTTTTGTCCAGCTTTAACATCGGTATCGATATCGGTTATCAGCTACATGAGTTTTAAAATATCGGCATATCGGATATCGGCCAAAATCCCAATATCGCGCATCCCTAATGTCAGATTATACTTTCACGGACCGGCCTTTAAAGTGTGGGGGGTAAATACGATCAAATAAAATGATACGACTGGCATAAAATCAAATACGAACAGCATAAATATAAAACTCATCGTTGTAATGAATTAGTGGGAGCCCTGGGCTTGTTTTTCCGAAACAAACCGGTCCCATCTAGGCGTAATCGGAGACAAAAGTGTGTTTTGGTCGCTGTAACCGCAGAAAATCCCGCTTCACAAAGATAGGATGTTATAGATAGGATGAGTCTTGACCTGAATTAACCTGTGTCAAGAGAGACAGATGTACCGACTGATGGAATTGGGAGAGAATACCGCAATTTTTTATATTTTTCAAAATAAAACATCATTTAGACTCCTCAATAAATACATATATATATATATATATATATATATATGTATATATATATATATATATATATATGTATGTTTTCTTTTTTATCTGTGCGGCCCGGTACCAAATAACCGGTACCGGTCCGCGGCCCGGTGGTTGGGGACCGCTGGTGTTAAGTTCTTTGGTCAAGTCCTCTGACTTAAAAAACGCTGTTTAAGTTTAGGCCATTTACCATTTTTACCATTTTACTGTCTTTTTTTGGCAGATCTTTTTTTCCCCATTTTTCTTTATAAAACAGCTCTGTTCTGTCAGAATGGGTGAAGAGTGTCCATGTAAAGCAACGTTCAATCAAGCTACCTACTTTTAACTTTATGTGGACAACAACTGTTTGTTTTCTAGTAAAATAACTGTCCTTCTCTGCCCTCAGATCTTAATAAAAAGAATAAAAATAAACTACACTTTGTTTGCTACACTTTGTTTGCTACACACTCAGTCTGTCTTAGAAGGCAGGACTTTCCTTCAGGACTGACAATAATTGTTTTCTACTTTCAGCTACTTTAGATCATTAATGAAATGTAAAATAGCAGCAAATATAGGGAATAACATGTTGAGACTCCGGAAGAGATTTGATCCTTAAGAAATGGGTGCAATACAGTTTGTCCGAGTGGTGTTGCCATATGCTGACATCATAAGAAGGGGCGGGGCCCCGAGCAGATCTGGTACCTACAGTACACCGGGACACATTAAAAGAACTTCTTTGCAAATACTATTAATGCAAAATGCTAATGCTATGTTTCTGGCTATGGTAGCTACATGCTTCATTGTTTCCTTTGCTTGATATTTGAAGCTTTTTCATGTAAATTAAAGAGTATTTAATGCGTTTTAGCTAAGCTTAGTCTTTTTTCCCCTCACAGGCTCACCAGGCTCAAGAAGAGGAACTTACAGCCAAGGTAAACCTGGAATATCTTCATGCAGATGAAAAGCCGAGTATAAAGTCCTGATCTGTTCGCTTCACACTTTACTACTGGCCTCATTTACCTGCTGAATCATCTACTTATAGATATAGAACTGATTTCCAGCTGACACCGGGACTGAGAAACCTTTATAATGGACTATGATGGTGCGTTTTCCAATTGGTCAAAGTCCTGAACTCAGAGATGGGTTTGCTGGAAGGACCAGAGGAGAGGAAATATGATGCTTTAGTTCTAGCAAATATGGAGTCATATGGAGTCATTTGCAAAGCAGAGATATTATAAGGTGGTCACTCTGCTTGTTAGTGTATAAAATACGGAAGAGGATTAGGGCCACTGAAAAAAAAAAAAATTAACTGATTTAACAGAATTCTGACTTTTTGTTTTTGTTTTTTCGGCACTAGTGGCTCGTTTTTCTGACAGTAGGCTGACAGGAAATGGGGTATGAGAGACGGGGAGTGACATGCGGCAAAGGAACACAGGTCGGATTCGAACCCGGGTCGGTCGGGTCGAGGACTAAGGCCTCCGTACATGGGTCATGCGCACTAACTGCTGACTCACCTGCACTCCCGAAATTCTGACTTTAATCGCAGAATTCTGACTTTATCAACATCAATCAATCTTTATTGTCAACTAAAATCAAAATTTCAATTTCAGTACAAACCGTTCATCGCAATACATCACATTCATCGGGGTGGGGGGGCTGAGAGGGGGCTACTGAGGCCATGCGTGCCGCAGAACGCTGCTAGTAGCGCATTCTCCCACCGGTCACCTGGCTGCCCAGGTCCCAGGTGGTTCCCCATAGCGCTGCCTTTATCCCTGTGGAAAGATAGGAGCCAGATTGGGGAAGAGATGGAAAAAAAAAACATATTTCGCACTTTATCCTTGACAGGACACAGCTTGAGATATCAAAACACCTAAGAGCACAAGAAAAGCAGATAAGAACACGAGACAAACATTTCAGCAGAGGGTCAAATCAGAGGCAGAGTCATATGACGTCAATCTGACATTTGAGACATTTAGTCATGTGTGTGTGATGAATGCATTCAATATGATATTTAATCAATATTTAATCTCACAATTCTGACTTTAATCTCAGGATTCTGACTTTAATCTCAGGATTCTGACTTTAATCTCAGAATTCTGACTTTAATCTCACAATTCTGACTTTAATCTCAGGATTCTGACTTTAATCTCAGGATTCTGACTTTTTCCTCACAATTCTGACTTTAATCTCAGGATTCTGACTTTAATCTCACAATTGTGACTTTAATCTCAGGATTCTGACTTTAATCTCACAATTCTGACTTTAATCTCACAATTCTGACTTTTTCCTCACAATTCTGACTTTAATCTCAGAATTCTGACTTTAATCTCAGAATTCAGACTTTTTCCTCACAATTCTGACTTTAATCTCAGAATTCTGACTTTAATCTCACAATTCTGACTTTAATCTCACAATTCTGACTTTAATCTCAGAATTCTGACTTTAATCTCAGAATTCTGACTTTAATCTCACATTTCTGACTTTAATCTCACATTTCTGACTTTAATCTCACAATTCTGACTTTATTCTCAGAATTCTGACTTTAATCTCACAATTCTGACTTTAATCTCACAATTCTGACTTTAATCTCAGGATTCTGACTTTAATCTCAGGATTCTGACTTTTTCCTCACAATTCTGACTTTAATCTCAGGATTCTGACTTTAATCTCACAATTCTGACTTTAATCTCAGAATTCTGACTTTAATCTCAGACTTCTGACTTTAATCTCAGGATTCTGACTTTAATCTCAGAATTCTGACTTTAATCTCAGGATTCTGACTTTAATCTCAGGATTCTGACTTTTTCCTCACAATTCTGACTTTAATCTCAGGATTCTGACTTTAATCTCACAATTCTGACTTTAATCTCAGGATTCTGACTTTAATCTCACAATTCTGACTTTAATCTCAGAATTCTGACTTTAATCTCACAATTCTGACTTTAATCTCAGAATTCTGACTTTAATCTCACAATTCTGACTTTAATTTCAGGATTCTGACTTTAATCTCAGGATTCTGACTTTAATCTCACAATTCTGACTTTAATCTCACAATTCTGACTTTAATCTCACAATTCTGACTTTAAGCTCACAATTCTGACTTTTTCCTCACAATTCTGACTTTAATCTCAGGATTCTGACTTTAATCTCACAATTCTGACTTTTTCCTCACAATTCTGACTTTTTCCTCACAATTCTGACTTTAATCTCACAATTCTGACTTTAATCTAACAATTCTGACTTTAATCTCAGGATTCTGACTTTAATCTCAGGATTCTGACTTTTTCCTCACAATTCTGACTTAAATCTCAGGATTCTGACTTTAATCTCACAATTCTGACTTTAATCTCAGAATTCTGACTTTAATCTCAGAATTCTGACTTTTTCCTCACAATTCTGACTTTAATCTCAGAATTCTGACTTTAATCTCACAATTCTGACTTTAATCTCAGGATTCTGACTTTAATCTCACAATTCTGACTTTAATCTCACAATTCTCACTTTAATCTCACAATTCTGACTTTTTCCTCACAATTCTGACTTTAATCTCAGAATTCTGACTTTAATCTCAGAATTCTGACTTTTTCCTCACAATTCTGTCTTTAATCTCACAATTCTGACTTTAATCTCAGAATTCTGACTTTAATCTCACAATTCTGACTTTAATCTCACAATTCTGACTTTAATCTCACAATTCTGTCTTTATTCACAGAATTCTGACTTTAATCTCACATTTCTGACTTTAATCTCACAATTCTGACTTTAATCTCACAATTCTGACTTTAATCTCAGAATTCTGACTTTAATCTCAGAATTCAGAGTTTTTCCTCACAATTCTGACTTTAATCTCACAATTCTGACTTTAATCTCACAATTCTGACTTTAATCTCAGAATTCTGACTTTAATCTCACATTTCTGACTTTAATCTCAGAATTCTGACTTTAATCTCACAATTCTGACTTTATTCTCAGAATTCTGACTTTAATCTCACAATTCTGACTTTAATCTCACAATTCTGACTTTAATCTCAGGATTCTGACTTTAATCTCAGGATTCTGACTTTTTCCTCACAATTCTGACTTTAATCTCACAATTCTGACTTTAATCTCAGAATTCTGACTTTAATCTCACAATTCTGACTTTATTCTCAGAATTCTGACTTTAATCTCACAATTCTGACTTTAATCTCACAATTCTGACTTTAATCTCAGCATTCTGACTTTAATCTCAGAATTCAGACTTTTTCCTCACAATTCTGACTTTAATCTCACAATTCTGACTTTAATCTCACAATTCTGACTTTAATCTCAGAATTCTGACTTTAATCTCAGAATTCTGACTTTTTCCTCACAATTCTGACTTTAATCTCAGAATTCTGACTTTAATCTCACAATTCTGACTTTAATCTCAGGATTCTGACTTTAATCTCACAATTCTGACTTTAATATCACAATTCTGACTTTAATCTCACAATTCTGACTTTAATCTCAGGATTCTGACTTTAATCTCAGGATTCTGACTTTAATCTCAGGATTCTGACTTTAATCTCACAATTCTGACTTTAATCTCACAATTCTGACTTTTTCCTCACAATTCTGACTTTAATCTCACAATTCTGACTTTAATCTCAGAATTCTGACTTTTTCCTCACAATTCTGACTTTAATCTCACAATTCTGACTTTAATCTCAGAATTCTGAATTTAATCTCACAATTCTGACTTTAATCTCAGAATTCTGACTTTTTCCTCACAATTCTGACTTTAATCTCACAATTCTGACTTTAATCTCAGAATTCTGACTTTAATCTCACAATTCTGACTTTAATCTCAGAATTCTGACTTTAATCTCACATTTCTGACTTTAATCTCACATTTCTGACTTTAATCTCACAATTCTGACTTTATTCTCAGAATTCTGACTTTAATCTCACAATTCTGACTTTAATCTCAGAATTCTGACTTTAATCTCAGAATTCTGACTTTTTCCTCACAATTCTGACTTTAATCTCAGAATTCTGACTTTAATCTCACAATTCTGACTTTAATCTCAGGATTCTGACTTTAATCTCACAATTCTGACTTTAATCTCACAATTCTGACTTTAATCTCAGAATTCTGACTTTAATCTCACAATTCTGACTTTATTCTCAGTATTCTGACTTTAATCTCACAATTCTGACTTTAATCTCACAATTCTGACTTTAATCTCACATTTCTGACTTTAATCTCAGAATTCTGACTTTAATCTCAGAATTCAGAGTTTTTCCTCACAATTCTGACTTTAATCTCACAATTCTGACTTTAATCTCACAATTCTGACTTTAATCTCAGAATTCTGACTTTAATCTCACATTTCTGACTTTAATCTCAGAATTCTGACTTTAATCTCACAATTCTGACTTTATTCTCAGAATTCTGACTTTAATCTCACAATTCTGACTTTAATCTCACAATTCTGACTTTAATCTCAGGATTCTGACTTTAATCTCAGGATTCTGACTTTTTCCTCACAATTCTGACTTTAATCTCACAATTCTGACTTTAATCTCAGAATTCTGACTTTAATCTCACAATTCTGACTTTATTCTCAGAATTCTGACTTTAATCTCACAATTCTGACTTTAATCTCACAATTCTGACTTTAATCTCAGCATTCTGACTTTAATCTCAGAATTCAGACTTTTTCCTCACAATTCTGACTTTAATCTCACAATTCTGACTTTAATCTCACAATTCTGACTTTAATCTCAGAATTCTGACTTTAATCTCAGAATTCTGACTTTTTCCTCACAATTCTGACTTTAATCTCAGAATTCTGACTTTAATCTCACAATTCTGACTTTAATCTCAGGATTCTGACTTTAATCTCACAATTCTGACTTTAATATCACAATTCTGACTTTAATCTCACAATTCTGACTTTAATCTCAG